TCTGTTCACACACTCTTAGCTCTTTTAGTGGTGTTGTTCACACACTCTTAGCTCTTTTAGTGGTGTTGTTCACACACTCTTAGCTCTTTTGGTGTTGTTCACACACTCTTAGCTCTTTTAGTGGTGTTGTTCATACACTCTTAGCTCTTTTAGTGGTCTAGTTCACACACTCTTAGCTCTTTTAGTGGTGTTGTTCACACACTCTTAGCTCTTTTTAGTGGTGTTGTTCACACACTCTTAGCTCTTTAGTGGTGTTTTCACACACTCTTAGCTCTTTTAGTGGTGTTGTTCACACACTCTTAGCTCTTTTAGTGGTGTTGTTCACACACTCTTAGCTTTTTAGTGTGGTCTAGTTCACACACTCTTAGCTCTTTTAGTGGTGTTGTTCACACACTCTTAGCTCTTTTAGTGTGTTGTTCACTTACACTCTATTAGCTCTTTTAGTGGTCTAGTTCACACACTCTTAGCTCTTTTAGTGGTGTTGTTCACACACTCTTAGCTCTTTTTAGTGGTGTTGTTCACACACTCTTAGCTCTTTTAGTGGTGTTGTTCACACACTCTTAGCTCTTTTAGTGGTGTTCACACACTCTTAGCTCTTTTAGTGGTGTTGTTCACACACTCTTAGCTCTTTTAGTGGTGTTGTTCACACACTCTTAGCTCTTTTAGTGGTCTAGTTCACACACTCTTAGCTCTTTTAGTGGTGTTGTTCACACACTCTTAGCTCTTTTAGTGTGTTGTTCACACACTCTTAGCTCTTTTAGTGGTGTTCACACACTCTTAGCTCTTTTAGTGGTGTTGTTCACACACTCTTAGCTCTTTTAGTGGTGTTGTTCACACACTCTTAGCTCTTTTAGTGGTCTAGTTCACACACTCTTAGCTCTTTTAGTGGTGTTGTTCACACACTCTTAGCTCTTTAGTGTGTGTTCACACACTCTTAGCTCTTTTAGTGGTGTTGTTCACACACTCTTAGCTCTTTTAGTGGTCTAGTTCACACACTCTTAGCTCTTTTAGTGGTCTAGTTCACACACTCTTAGCTCTTTTAGTGGTCTAGTTCACACACTCTTAGCTCTTTTAGTGGTGTTGTTCACACACTCTTAGCTCTTTTAGTGGTGTTGTTCACACATCTTAGCTCTTTTAGTGGTCTAGTTCACACACTCTTAGCTCTTTTAGTGGTTGTTCACACACTTAGCTCTTTTAGTGGTGTTGTTCACACACTCTTAGCTCTTTTAGTGGTGTTGTTCACACACTCTTAGCTCTTAGTGGTGTTGTTCACACACTCTTAGCTCTTTTAGTGGTCTAGTTCATACACTCTTAGCTCTTTTAGTGGTGTTGTTCACACACTCTTAGCTCTTTTAGTGGTGTTGTTCACACACTCTTAGCTCTTTTTAGTGGTGTTGTTTCACACACTCTTAGCTCTTTTAGTGGTGTTGTTCACACACTCTTAGCTCTTTTAGTGGTGTTGTTCACACACTCTTAGCTCTTTTAGTGGTCTAGTTTCATACACCTTAGCTCTTTAGTGGTGTTGTTCACACACTCTTAGCTCTTTTAGTGGTGTTGTTCACACACTCTTAGCTCTTTAGTGGTGTTGTTCACACACTCTTAGCTCTTTTAGTGGTTGTTCACACACTCTTAGCTCTTTTAGTGGTGTTGTTCACACACTCTTAGCTCTTTTAGTGGTGTTGTTCACACACTCTTAGCTCTTTTAGTGGTGTTGTTCACACACTCTTAGCTCTTTTAGTGGTCTAGTTCACACACTTAGCTCTTTTAGTGGTGTTCACACACTCTTAGCTCTTTTAGTGGTGTTGTTCCCACACTCTTAGCTCTTTTAGTGGTCTAGTTCACACACTCTTAGCTCTTTTAGTGGTGTTGTTCACACACTCTTAGCTCTTTTACTGGTGTTGTTCACACACTCTTAGCTCTTTTAGTGGTGTTGTTCACACACTCTTAGCTCTTTTAGTGGTCTAGTTCACACACTCTTAGCTCTTTTAGTGGTCTAGTTCACACACTCTTAGCTCTTTTAGTGGTGTTGTTCACACACTCTTAGCTCTTTTAGTGGTGTTGTTCACACACTCTTAGCTCTTTTAGTGGTGTTGTTCACACACTCTTAGCTCTTTTAGTGGTGTAGTTCACACACTCTTAGCTCTTTTAGTGGTGTTGTTCACACACTCTTAGCTCTTTTAGTGGTCTAGTTCACACACTCTTAGCTCTTTTAGTGGTGTTGTTCACACACTCTTAGCTCTTTTAGTGGTGTTCACACACTCTTAGCTCTTTTAGTGGTGTTGTTCACACACTCTTAGCTCTTTTAGTGGTGTTGTTCACACACTCTTAGCTCTTTTAGTGGTGTTGTTCACACACTCTTAGCTCTTTTAGTGGTCTTGTTCACACACTCTTAGCTCTTTTAGTGGTCTGTTCACACACTTTAGCTCTTTTAGTGGTGTTGTTCACACACTCTTAGCTCTTTTAGTGGTGTTGTTCACACACTCTTAGCTCTTTTAGTGGTGTTGTTCACACACTCTTAGCTCTTTTAGTGGTCTAGTTCACACACTCTTAGCTCTTTTAGTGGTGTTGTTCACACACTCTTAGCTCTTTTAGTGTCTAGTTCACACACTCTTAGCTCTTTTAGTGGTGTTGTTCACACACTCTTAGCTCTTTTAGTGGTGTTTTCACACACTCTTAGCTCTTTTAGTGGTGTTGTTCACACACTCTTAGCTCTTTTAGTGGTGTTGTTCACACACTCTTAGCTCTTTTAGTGGTCTAGTTCACACACTCTTAGCTCTTTTAGTGGTGTTGTTCACACACTCTTAGCTCTTTTAGTGGTGTTGTTCACACACTCTTAGCTCTTTTAGTGGTCTAGTTCACACACTCTTAGCTCTTTTAGTGGTGTTGTTCACACACTCTTAGCTCTTTTAGTGGTGTTGTTCACACACTCTTAGCTCTTTTAGTGGTGTTGTTCACACACTCTTAGCTCTTTTAGTGGTGTTGTTCACACACTCTTAGCTCTTTTAGTGGTGTTCACACACTCTTAGCTCTTTTAGTGGTGTTGTTCACACACTCTTAGCTCTTTAGTGGTGTTGTTCACACACTCTTAGCTCTTTTAGTGGTGTTGTTCACACACTCTTAGCTCTTTTTGTGGTTGTTCACACACTCTTAGCTCTTTTAGTGGTGTTGTTCACACACTCTTAGCTCTTTTAGTGGTGTTGTTCACACACTCTTAGCTCTTTTAGTGGTCTAGTTCACACACTCTTAGCTCTTTTAGTGGTGTTGTTCACACACTCTTAGCTCTTTTAGTGGTGTTGTTCACACA